AACAGAACAGGAATAAAAAATCTTTCTGCGTTTTTTGTGAGGAACCGCATGATTCAGCGAGTTGTAAATTAGCAATGAGTTTATCGTTAGAAGAAAAAAAGAATATTTTGAAAAAAAGACGAGCTTGCTTTCGCTGTTTAATTATGAATCATAGGGCGGATCAGTGTTATTCAAAAATTGTTTGCACATTTTGTTCGAAGCGCCATGCATCAATAATGTGTTATTTAAATCATGATTTAAAAGGGAATGAATCCGATAATTCTGATAATAGTAATAAACTTGTTGAAAGTAGTGTTTTAACTAATAATTGTTGTTCTAATGAAGTTTATTTACAAACTTTAATTGTATATGTTCATGGTCAGAATTCTAAACATTTAGTAAGAATAATTATTGATTTGGGTAGTCAAAGATCATATTGTAGTAAATTTATTGCTAAAACAATGGGTTTAAATTGCATTGGGGAGGAAACTGTCACCCACGGACTTTTTGGAGGTATTGAAAATACTGAACAACATAAGCGGTATAGTGTTAAGCTAACTAGCCTGGATGAGAAATTCAGCTGTGAATTTGACGTGATGGATCAGAAGCAGATTTGTGCTCCTATTCCTAAAATAAGTGATTCCAACTGTAAACGTGAATTAAAAGGTATGGGTATTTTTGCAAGTGATATCGAATTAAAAGGGAATTCTTGTTTATATGAAAAAAACCCAAATGAAATTCACATACTTATTGGGGCAGATCTTGCAAGTACCTTGCTAACGGGGAATATTAAACATCTATCAGGAGGGTTAGTAGCTGCGAATACGCGTCTTGGGTGGACAGTGCTGGGAAAATCTGTACGAGAAAACGCATTTAATACTCCTCAGTTATTATTGACTTTACATGTAGATTATGCTAAAATATCGGATCTCTGGGAGTTAGATTCTTTAGGAATTCACGATATGAGTGAAAAACAAACAAAAACAGAAACCCAAGAAATTGTTCTAAAGCATTTCCAAGAAACATTAACCAGAGATCAAAGCGGTAGGTATCAGGTTTGTTTACCTTGGTTGGAGGGTCGTGTAACATTGTCGGATCATAAAGAATTGGCCAAGAAAAGGCTTAGCAATACCGTGCAATCGCTTAATTCTAGTAATATGTTAAAGGCGTATCAAGATGTATTTGATGAGTGGGAAAAAGAAGGCATTATAGAGCAGGTTTTGTCAGATCATAACAATATAAATAATGCAGAGTCCGCAGAGCACTTCTTACCTCATAGACCAGTCATCAAAGAGAATTCAACGACTAAAATTCGTCCCGTGTTTGATGGGTCAGCTAAAACTCGTAATTCTTTATCGTTAAATGAGTGTATTGAAAAAGGGCCAAATTTGATAGAGCTAATACCATCAGTTTTAAATCGTTTTAGATGGGGTAAAATCGGTGTTATAGCCGATATTCGCAAAGCCTTTTTACAAATAAGCCTGCAAGAAAGTGATAGGAATTTTTTGAAGTTTTTATGGTGGAGAGACGGTGACCCTCGCAAATTAATTACTTACAGGCACTGTCGCGTTGTTTTTGGTGTTTCGTGCAGCCCTTTTCTGCTAGCTGCCGTTTTAAACCACCATTTGGAAAACGTACCAGAAAACTTAAAGCATTTGGCTAAGAAACTAAAAGACTCCATGTACGTGGACAATTGTGTAGCAAGTGTTGATTCTGTTGCAGAACTAGAATATTTTCGATCAGAATCTCAGAAACTGCTAGCTTCTGCGAAATTTGACTTGCGTGGCTGGATAGATAATGCACACACTTCAGAGAATAAAGTTGAGGAAAATTTACAGGTTACGAATTCCGAAAACTTTAAAGTCCCAGTTTTAGGGCTTTTGTGGAACTTTAAGAACGATACGTTGTCTTGCGATATTAACGATATCAGTATCGATGATAAAAGCATAACTAAGAGAAAAATATTATCATTGGCACATAAGATATTTGACCCTATTGGGTTCACGTGCCCAGTGACTCTAATACCGAAACTACTTCTCCAAGATTGTTGGAAAGCTCAAGTCTCTTGGGATGCTGAACTGCCGAAAGATATCGTTCAAAAGTTTAATAATTGGAGAAACCAAATCTCAGATTTGAAAGACATTGAAATTCCTCGAAATTACTCATGCTTGGATTTGAATGACGCAAAATTGACTTTGCATGTTTTTTGCGACGCATCCAAACTTTCTTATGCTACTGGAATTTTCTTGAGAGCAGAACGGGGAAATGAAGTGACTTGTCAGTTACTACAAGCTAGATCACGAGTGGCACCATTAAAGAATGTGTCTATCCCGAGATTGGAATTACTCGCCTGTAACATCGGAGTGAGACTAGCAACATCTGTAAAAAATGATCTGAACTTGAAGGATATCCAGACATTTTATTGGTCTGATTCCATGGACGCATTGTATTGGATAAAGAAAGAAGGTCCATGGGTTGTATTTGTGACCAATAGGGTAAAAGAAATAAGAGCTTTGTCCCAAGTTAGTGAATGGAATTATGTTCCAGGAATTCAAAACCCGGCCGATTTACCTTCTAGGGGGTGTTCGGTGAAGACGCTTATCAAGGGAAAATGGTGGCAGGGGCCACCATGGCTGAAAGACTCTAGAGACCGCTGGCCTAATTACAAATTGATTCCAGATGAAAAGGTGATAAACTCTGAGAAGAAGAAAATTGTCGTGTCTTCCTTGAATAAAGAAAATGACGAATACTATCATCGCATTTCTTCGTACAAAAGAATAATAAGAATCACTGGTTGGATTTTAAGATTTTTCAGAAATGCTAAGACACCTAGTGATAAAAGGTCTGGACAACTATGTGCTGAGGAACTGAAGAAGGCCGAACTTAAAATTCTGAAGAAAGTTCAGGATGAAGAATTCTTTGGAGGAACAGAAAACCAATTGAAGTCTCTAAAAATTATAACAGACAATGATGGTCTCCTAAGGGTTAAAACCAAAGTTTTCATGAGAATAGATGAAGAGGATTTTAGACTTCCACTACTTTTACCATCAAATCATCACGTGGTAAAAAGTCTAATAATCAGTAAACATCAAGAGTTAGGACATGCCGGAGTACCATTTTTAATGACTGCCTTAAGAGAAAATTATTGGATCTTAAAGAGTAGAAGAACCATAAAGAAAGCCATAAAGATATGCGTTGTATGCCAAAGGTTCAATTCAAGACCAGCTAGTATTCCTGAAGGACCATTACCGGAAGATCGAGTAAAGGAAGAGTCTGTTTTTGAGATAATTGGTTTAGATGTGGCGGGTCCTTTGTACCTTAAAGAAAGGCAAAAGGTGTGGATACTTCTAATAACATGTGCTATCTACCGAGCAGTTCATTTGGAACTTTTGACTGCTTTATCCACTGACAACTTCTTATTGGCTCTAAGAAGGTTCATTTCACGAAGCGGAAGACCTTCGAAGATCTATTCGGATAATGGGACTAACTTCGTCGGATTTGAAAAACTGCTGAGAAATGTTGATCTCGAGAGATTGAAAGGTGAAATCGCTCCCATCACTTGGAAATTTATACCACCTTCAGCTCCATGGTGGGGTGGTTTCTGGGAACGTTTAGTAGGTCTTATGAAGCAGATTTTGAGAAAAGTGCTGGGAAGAACTTCGCTAAGTTATGAGGAAATGGCTACTGTTTTGTGCGAATGTGAGTCTTCTCAATTCAAGACCACTTACCCATGTTTCTGATGATGCAAATGACTTGAATCCAATTACACCAGCAATGTTTTTGCAAGAAAACAAAAGTAATGATGTTACAGATCTTGACCAATGCAGCCAAGCAGATGGAAAAAGTTTAAATAAACGTTTGGCATACCGGTTAAGAATTTAAAAAGATCTACGTTCGAGATTTCGAGTGGAATACCTAGGACAACTACGAGAAAGTTACAGAAAGAAAAATAACGTCCGTGTTCCGAAAGAAGGTGACATAGTACTCGTATGGAGGGACAACATCAAGAGACTTAACTGGCCGATGGCAAAAATATTGGAAACATATCCCAGTCAAGATGGACTTGTTCGTTTAGCGAAAATAAAGACAAAGTCTGGTGTCTTTATTCGCCCTGTTCAGAAACTGTGCCCTATGGAACTGGATAGTTGTGATACTATTGTCAATAATACTCCAAATGATTGTGTCAACCCTAACCCTTCCGTGAATGATAACTATAGAAAAACTGATTCTGTGACCACTCGAGCTGGTAGGGTTGTGAGAGTGCCTCAACGTTTTGGACAGTAATATGTGTTGAGTTTCAGTGATCGACATCTCTAAAACTCAAGAGAGGAGTGTCGAGAAACTGCGAAGAACAATCTAACTTTAAAATTTTAACTGTAACTGTGGCGTGGCGGAAGTTTTGTAAACAGAAGGGGAATGATCGCCTCAGAGTAAAGAGGTTGATATGTTATGCTCATTTCAAAAAAGCTTAATGTTTCGTTTTCAATTATGTTTCTTGTTACGTTTTGTGTTAAATATTAAATGTTTTAAAAAGAAATAGTTAATTCCTTTAATGGCAGAACTTGTTACTTTTTATTATTGACATCTTTTTATTTTTACAAGAGTAGCGATCCTTTTTAAAGCGAAAGAAAAGCTTTCCATCTTCTCACCGGGAAAATTGAAGAACAACAGAAATTGCAGGTAAGGTAATTTTACCTTTACCTTTAATTAAGAATTATTATTGAATTTATTTTGAGTTGATTGATAAATAATTTTTTACAGTTCCAAAGGGAAGCCTATTTGCTATGGTTCATACATTCATAGTGCATATATTCACAGTAAATTAATACATTTTCTTTCTAAACTTTAGAGCATTAGTATAAGAAAATAAAACTAGTATATTATTAGTACATTAGTATAAAACAAGTGTCAAAACCCTAGGGCAACTAGGACACAATAATCAAAAAGAAAAAAAAAGGATAAAGAAATTCTGCATAAGCATTACAATAATAAGCAATAAATAAAAATTGTTGGTTACTTACCGCTTAATTTGTTATGATAGCAACGTCCAAGAAGCCATGCTGCAGAATCAGTCTTTAGATTAACCTCTCTTTTAACTCGCCATCCTGAAAATGAATTTGATTTTGAAAAAAAAATTATGATAATTAAATCTTAATATGACAGTTAAGTAACAAGAGTCAAGATAAAAATAATGCATTTAACACATCAAAATTCTATAAGTGGATAAAGAAGATTTTATTAATAATAGATAAGATGCTTATCAGTTAGCATAATATTAGTTACAAACACTTCATTATTAATAAATTTCTCTTTCACATAAAGCAGTATATCGAGTTTTGGGAATGGTTATGAAACTGTTTAGCAACAATCATTATATTATAAATCTATAATTCACAAATTTGAAAACATTAAGTGTGATTAGTAAATCACCCAATCACGGCCAAGTACTTAGCCCCATTTTTCAAGGCTCTATCTTTTAACTGGTTAGCATGTGAGCAGGTACCCATCGCTCCTAACTTCTATACTATAACCAATGGGATAACTACAGACTAAGGCAAACAACGTTAAAAAGCACAAAAATAATTATAAAATACAGACAGCTGTTTCGGATGCTCAAAGGGCAACCTTCACCTGTGCAACAGAAAGAAATGAGAGAAAACAGGGTAAATATAAAGAAAGGTGACGTCACAAGAGGGTTTAGAACAACGGCCAATAGGAGGGAAGGGTGAATGGATGACGACGAATAGGAAGCAAGGAACAAAAAGTTGGTTAGGTAGGTTTAATCATAGACTTCCAAACAGGAGAAAGATAAGGAACGCTGGATGGGTCATTGACCAACAGTTTGGAACTTTTGAAAACATGATAAGACTAGTAAAAATCTAAATCAAAAATTGAAGAACAATTTTGAATGACTTTAGAAGAAAAATTAAAATTATGATTAGAGTCCCAACAATGTTTGGCAATAGATGAGTGTTTACATTCTTGTTTTTTGACATAAGCTTCATGTTCCTTGACACGGCACTTTAAGGCACGCTTAGTTTGGCCAATATATGAAAGGCCAAGGCCGGGATAGCCTGGTCGGTAGGGCGCTGGGCCCATATCCAAAAGGTCGTGGGTTCGATCCTCGCCGGCCGAAGACTCCCCGTGTAGTAAATGGTGACTGATGCACGTTAAATCTGTCGAGTCTCAAAGTCCTCCATGTTCCCACAACAAATCAATACCTCTGGGGGTACTGATCCAGGAGTTTCCTTGTCTTCTGGATTGGTTCAAAAATACAAGGCTACGGAGTTGAACGTTAGTAGTCGTAAACCCATGAAATTGGGTCGGCTGTTCAACGACGGTTATAAAATAAAATATATGAAAGGCCGCATTAGCAATTAATTTGGTATATACCGTAGCTACTTGCTGACTTATTTTAGGAAAATAGGGTAAAATGACTAAATTGTTAGAAAATTCTGTGGAAGGTTTATCGGTAAGCGATTGTTCAGTTAAGTTTTTATAAATATTATCAATAATGTTAGGAGAATAACCTCTGTCATGATCAATGGCTTTAATGTAAATTAAATCTGCATCAAGAAAATCAATGTTAGAAAAAATATTAATAGCATGGTAGACAAAAGACCGAAAAGAGGCAAGTTTTTGGTTGGGAGGGTGGGAAGATTTGTAATGAGAGGAAAGAGAAACAGCAAAAGGTTTACGAAAGACAATGGTATGGAATGAATTATCCTTTCGAGTCACAAGAACATCCAAGAAAGGAAGTTTTTGATCAGTCTCTAATTCAAAGTTGAACTGAATGCAAGAATCAATGCTGTTCATAACATTAAGAATTTGGTTTAAATTACAATTATTTTCATCTAACAAAGCAAAACTGTCACCAACATATCTTTTATAATAGGGAAAAGTTAAGATTTTGAATAGTTTACTTTCAAAGTAATGCATATAGATGCCACTAAGTATAGGGTTCAAAGGATTTCCCATGGCAAGACCATTGGTCATACGTTCATATATTGGCCAAACTAAGCCTGCCTTAAAATGCCGTGTCAAGGAACATGAAGTTTATGTCAAAAAACAAGAATGTAAATGCTCATCTATTGCCCAACATTGTTGGGACTCTAATCATAATTTTAATTTTTCTTCTTCTGAAGTCATTTAAAATTGTTCTTCAATTTTTGATTTAGATTTTTACGAGTCTTATCATATTTTCAAAAATTCCAAACTGTTGGTCAATGACCTATCCAGCGTTCCTTATCTTTCTCCAGTTTGGAAATCTATGATTAAACCTAACTAACCACCTTTTTGTTCCTTGCTTCCTATTCGTCACCTTTCTCTATATTTACCCCGTTTTCTCTCATTTCTTTCTGCTGCACTGATGAAGGTTGCCCTTTGAGCCTCCAAAACAGCTGTCTGTATTTTATAAATATTTTTGTGCTCTTTAATGCTGTTTGCCTTAGTTTGTATTTCAGCACAAAGGTCGCCCACTTGTGTATTTAATGGGATAACTTTCAGCCACAATAGATTTTAACCTTCACTTTGGTACAAACACACCAGTTCAGTTAACTGCCAGGAACAAACTCTATACCCACTGTTCTCCACCAGTAAAGTGAGCCACGGCTTTACTAACTGTGTGACTGGTGCAGCAAAAGGGAATAGAAATGCTCGCACTTGCTTTCTTCAGCACTATCGAATCAGAACTGAAAACTGAAATCAAACTGAATACTTCGTAAAGTTCAGGTGCAGTAGGAGTGAGGCTGAGAAATACCTCATCCATAGCACAACTGTTAACTAATTCTTTATTATAAAAACATTAAATGAGAAAAACTAGATGCAAAGAAGAAAACATTTTAAACAACAAAACTAATCATGATAAATAATGCAAAACAGTAGTAACATCTCTTATATCTTTGACTTAAAAGGTTTGATTATTAAAAAATTAACTCATTTTTTAAAATAAAAAACTATGACATTTTTAGTTTAGATTAACTAGTCTAGTTGCATATCATGGTCCCTCATTAGATAGCTTTCCTATATTTAAATTTCCCAACACACAAAAATAATGTTCTATACACGAATTAACCTGAAGTTCAAATATTAGAACATTCTTAAGTTACCATATGGTTTTGCTAATTCAACCGAAACACAGTAACTTTAAATATTGATGATAGCATGCTTTTTTTAATCAAATTCATAATTTCTTATATCTTAGACTATAAAAATTGTGTTTCAGCGCAGTAAAATGCTTTTAAAGTAGGGCCAAATAAAAGAAAGTAAATAAAATTGTGATAATCTAGTGACTTTATTAGTGTTGGAATAAATGTTTGCAAATGTTGCAATTCCTGACTAACACATATAACAGAGTTAAAATATTTACTATGGAATAAAACATGCTGATAAATACAACAAAGAGAAAATGTTTTTAAAAAATAGAATGTGTATTAGAACAATAGACTTTCAAATCATACACATCATACTGAACAAAATCATACTGAAAAAAAGATGTGGCATAACAACAAAAGTAAACAGAAGGCAATTAAAAAATGGACAATAATTCTTATTTTAAGAATAAATATATAATTTGGGTTTTCAAGAAATTTAACTTCTTTTAGCTTTTAAAAATTAATTTTTAAATATTAGGCCTGGACTTTAATCATTTTGAACAATGCTATAAAAAGCACAGCTTCTGTTTTTTTTTTAATTCTTTGAAACTTTATTGCCAAGCTCAGTTTTTTTTCTTCTTTTTTTAAAAAAAAATTAAATAAAGATAAAAACAAAATTTAACAAAAGTTTATAACAAATATAATTTTTATTTATTTCTGAAGAAATACAGTTTTACCTTAAAATAAGATAGCTTTTGTTGACTTACCGAACCAATCACCAAAAGCTAATTAATAATTAAAGAAACAAACTCTAAAAATACAATTATTAAATTTTTTTTGTTAGAAAAAAAATCTAATGTTTTTGACAAAAATATTTGTAAAGCTTGGCACCTTGAAAAACAATCGCTATTAAAAATTTAATCATTAAAAATGGGAGATATTTTCCATCTAAAATTTCAGAAAAAAGAAGGATCTCAACTAAACAAAGTAGGAAAAAAAAATTGAGAATTTCATAGGATTTCTAATTTGGTTAATTTTAAAAATTAGCATTCATTTCTTGAGACTAAAATAATACAATAATTAGTTTTTAACATTAGTGTATAAAAAATACTTACACTGAATGATGCATCAATAAAAAGGGCCTCAAAAAAATCGTGTCAAATATAGAGTTAGACATAAATCACAATTTACAGATTTAGTAGCCAAAAAGTTATGTAACAAATAAATACTTATTGATTCATGTGATAATTTTAACTAGATTAAAAACACGTTATTTTTTTAGTTAGTTATATTTATTTATTAAACTCTATTATTATGATAAATTAGAGTTTTATTATAACAATGCATTTATATTTATTTTTTTAACAATAAAAATAACAGTAAATGACAAATAAACACTACTTAACAATGAACACAGAAACACCCACTGAAAAGTAAATAATTATAAAGCACATTTAGAAAGTAAGCACAAAATATATTATATGAGTATGTTACATTTATACATATACTAGATGATCTAACTCCTAATAAGAACCTCGAAAAAATTATAAATTACCATATTTCACATTATTCCACATAGAACGTAACTTTGTTTTCATCTGATTTGGAGAATTGCTTTCATTCTTTCTAAAAAAAGAGTTATTTTGCTTTCCTAAAGAAAAAAACTCTTTAAATTCACTAGAATGAGTAGCTTCATTCAAACCATCAGAGTTTCTGGGCTTGAGAAATTTATCGTAGTGAGTATTTCCAGCAAAAGCATAGTCAGAAACTGAATTTGATTTGTTTTCAAATACATCATCTGTCCCGGAAGTTAGTTGTGAATTGGCTGTTAAGGGAAAATGAAATGAACTACCTTTCTTATCTGATTTGTAATTCGATTGAATTGAATTATTTAGTTTTGAAGATTTTTCAGTTGGATGATTGTCACATGGCGATGGGGGAAATCGCACATTATCTAATGAATATGGTTTTTTAAAGGTTTTCTCATTATCACATGATGGCGATTTACTGCTCAGGGAATCAACATATCCATCAGGACGTTCCAGCAATTGATATTCTGAACAATTGGAGGCAATATCTGTTGATTCATTGTAACAGTATTCATCACACAGAATATTTTCAGCTTGATTCGAATGAAATGGAACACTTTTAGTGTCAGTCAAAGGTGGAATTTGTTGTCTGGAAGACCTTAAAGTCGTCATTGAATAATAAAGATATTATTTTTAAAACATTCATTCAACAGAAATTGAACATGCCCATGACCCATACTTCTTCACACATGACATTACAATATTTACCATTAAAATTCGTCTGTTATGTTGATGTTGAGAAATCTCTGATGATAAAGGAGAAATATTAAGGTATTCGGTATACGCTTCAACTTTACTCTCTAGAATAATTTTTCTTCTGTCAGGGCTTCCGTGGAGCGGTCACGTGCTCTATTCTACCAATTAGAGCCCCTGAATTAGACCGGCCGACTTATCATTTATTTTGGAGCAAAAGCTTTTCCTCCAATAATGAACAGCTACAAGATTCGGTAACTTATCGCTGAAAACGACTTTAACCTCAACTAGAGTGCCTAGAGTAAAAGAGTGTGGACAAGGAAGAAACGATTTCTGATTGGTGGAAAGAAAAACTTTACCGCCGGAGGCGAGAGTGGAAAATTCGCCATTGGAATTACACGGAGTGAAAATTATCTGCCTCAAAAAATTTATGTTCTGCATTAATAAAGGCATGTAATAAGTTCATTACTTACTTTTTTTCAATGAGAAACTTCACTGTTACAGTAAATGTAAAAATCATGGCTGAAAATTTGGACAGTTATTAGAATTTATCCTTATTATTACTTACTTACGTGCATATAAAGTTTTGTTTATCTCATTGTAAAGAGAACAAGGTGATGAAATAACTAATGATTACATAAGAATAAATGTATTTACTTCTAATAAACATAATTTCTATCTAAATTACTAATAAATTTTAAGATTTGAGCATCTTTTTATCAAAACTTCAGAATTGCAGAGTTTGGCGATATTACTTTGAAATGTTGGCGCGTTACAATGTTCGCCAAGTAGCATTTGCTTACTTTTCGTTACCAACTTGATTAAATACTAGTTTGTTTTAAATTTCAACTAATTATCGAAATTTTTGTTTACAATTTGTTGAAATAAGCCATACCTTTGTAGGTGAACATGCGATAATTTTTTCCAGGAAAAAGTAATAAATAATAATAAATTATGTTATTCGTTTTATTGATTATTATTTCTGAAATAAATAACATAATCATTATTAATTTTTATATTTTATTTAAGGCATTTATTTAAAGCTAAAGTCTTTTCATAAGGCTCTTTTTTTTTTCATTGACGTTGATTTTTCAACAATGTGAGATGCTAATTTTTCTTACAATGTTTCTTAAAAAATCTGTAATATCATGTGCTTTCCAATCTTAAAGTTTATATTATTAATATACTTCAGTTCCTTAGTATATACTCTTAGAATAACAGAACCTCAGAATAACACCAAATGAGCGAGTAGCGCCAATTTCGGTGTATTATCTGGCAACCCCTTTGGACAAAAATATGACGGCAGCGCATGCGCTCTTGGATATTGTCATCACTCTTTTCAATACAGGCACTCTAACCTCAACTATAGGATAATCGGTAAAGAAAAGCATGCAACGATTAACATTGTTTTTCGGAAACTTCTTTTTTTATGCGTATCTACCTATATGCTTCTATGCTTCTTTACTCTCTAGAATAATTTTTCTTCTGTCAGGGCTTCCGTGGAGCGGTCACGTGCTCTATTCTACCAATTAGAGCTCCTGAATTAGACCGGCCGACTTATCATTTATTTTGGAGCAAAAGCTTTTCCTGCAATAATGAACAGCTATAAGATTTGGCAACTTATCGCTGAAAACGGCTTTAACCTCAACTATAGGATAATCGGTAAAAAAAAAGCATGCAACGATTAACATTGCTTTTCGGAAACTTTTTTTTTATGCTTATACAAATTCACTAGAAATTTTATGACCGATTTAAAGTTTTAAATAAAAAACTGCGCATGTGCTATGTGCCAATTACATAATTTTTTTTAATTGTTGTTGTTGTTGTTACTTTACGTCGCACTAGAGCTGCACAATGGGCTATTGGCGACGGTCTGGGAAACATCCCGGAGGATGATCCGAAGACATGCCATCACAATTTTGATCCTCTGCGGAATGGGTGGCACCCCCGCTTCGGTAGCCCGACGACCTGCGCGCGAAGTCGAGCACTTTACGGTAGCACAGTTTAACGAGGACCAATACCGCACACCCTCGGTCCCTACGCAGACTGATCCAAGTGATCACCCACCCGCACACTGACCGTAGCCAGTGATGCTTGACTTCGGTGATCTGCTGGGAACCGTGTCTTAACGATCAGTCCACTGCGGGACTCATTTTTTTAATAAACGATTTAAAAGTAAATTTGGTACTAAATTTTATATTTCAGTTAGATCTGAGTTTTTTAAATTTCTTTTCAGATTTTTTTTAACACAACTAAAAAGGGAGAAAAACATGTTTTGACCTGAAATATTTTTAAGTATGTTTTTAGAATGAAAATAATTAAATTTCTCGTGCAATATTCTAAATGTAAACGTCTACAATCGTGAGAAGCAAGAAATTTTGTTTCAAAATCAAGAATTGATTTAAAATTAGTGTTTTTAATTGAGACATTGAATTTTCTCTAAAGCATTTAAAGACAAGACGAATTAAGATTTTTAGCCAATATTATTATATAAATAGAATTAGTAGAATAAATAGAAACTAGAGTTTGATGGGGAGGAGAAGAAACGACGCATGATAAATTTTTAAATAATTTATTTAAATAAGCATCTGATTTCAGAACACATTTTCAAAACATTTATTCATTTGGAACATTGGAAATTGTTGGAATAGCATCAGGTCTAAATTTATTGTTTCCATCTTTTTTATTTATTTCTCGTTGAGTTTCTTCAAAATGAACCTGCAAAAATATTTAGAATACTTTTTTTTATTTTCATACTTAAATTAAATCAAATTTAAAAAAAATTAGAGTTTACAATTTACAAACATACTCCTATGAAATTTTCTAACACAGAAACTAATTATTTCAGCAATTTAAAACAAGAAAAAAACTTGATAGACCCAAAAACATATGAAAGATCGTATATTAAATAGATTTCTTATGATAAATGAAAACCGTTTGAATTTTAGGCGATATATTACCATGAATAGCTAAAATTCAGACTTAAATAAGCCAAGATTAAAAAAGTAACCANGTATATTAAATAGAATTTCTTATGATAAATGAAAACCGTTTGAATTTTAGGCGATATATTACCATGAATAGCTAAAATTCAGACTTAAATAAGCCAAGATTAAAAAAGTAACCACTTGATCTTAGTGAAATATAATGGAATACAATAAAAAACAGGTAAATATATATTATTTTTTTTTTAAATTTTTTTTTTTTTTACAAAAATAAATACTTAAAAGTTATGACAAAACTTGGCGATCATGAAATAAGTTTGGCGAATAATTATTCAGCCAATCTCTTGCCTTTATTTATTAGTTTCATTGCACATAAACACTTAAAATTGTTAAATAAATCAATAAATGCTGTTTAAAAGTCATATTTTAAATAAATATATATTTAATAAATGCAATTTTCAATGAAAATTGCCATGTTTGGTACTTAGTTAAAACTGTAAAATTCAAGTAACCCTGCAAGTTATTCGCTTATTTTTTATTTTTTTTAACTAAACGAAAACAAACATTTAAAAACAAATTCTAATAACTTAATATCGTTTATATACTACGTATATAAGTAAATAAATCTAATAAATTATAAATAAATGAGTATTTACCTCACATAAGCGAACTCCACTTCCAGGCTGCCAGTTGTATCTTCGGCAATTTATTATCCATTTCTTCTTTCTTTTCACATTTGAAGGAAATCTGAACATGCGAAAGTCTTTTTTTCGAACTGTTTGTGCAATTTAATGCCGCACAACCCATATCAATAATTTTTGGTATCCAAATGGTCTTCAAACTTTCACGATAATACTAACATAATGTTAACTTGCGAACTAGTTTGCTCCAATTTAGTTGATAGTTCAGCTCTCCTAGTATAGTAGCCTTACTACTAATGAAATCAAAATCTCACTGCGTCAATTTCTTCGCTAAACATCATACATTTACATTTGTGAGAAATATGTGTTGCAGAGGACAAAAATAAAACAGAGAGAATTTATTTTCGATTTCAAAATTGGGAAGTCGAGCAATTTTTTTTTTCTAATTAAAGAATTCATTTAAAAAAATTTCTATGCTTTGAGTTTTGATTGATGCTTGAGTTGACCTTAGATCGTGATATTAGTAGTGACGCGAATAAGATTAATAATAATTGTTTTACATTGATAATAATTGGATAATAAAATTAGAAAGCACTCTATTTTGCAGACATAATGGTGTGAGCAGACGACGAGATTATATCTTTTCCTTACTTTGTTTTCCGTCTTAAAAGTTTATTTTTCTTTTTTCGTAAAAGAATTAAATTAAGAAAGTAATTTTGTAAAAGAATTAAATTTAAGAATTAAACTTAACAAATTTAATAAGGAAGGAAAATAAGTGTAACAGCGACATCGATACCGGAGAGCTGCCCACACGCAGCGTTGCAGGACAAAGACTGACTGTTATATTTAAATAGTTTTAAGGAAAAGAATAGGTTAATTATTAATTGGGGACTTTTCCTTTACAGACACTGTGGCTCTATGGATTCTGTTAATTTTTCCTTGTAGACAGTCTGGCACCGTTCAAGGCAATTTTTGGTTTCGAGGATGATAGTTGATGGCGAATTAAAACTACTATATGTGTGTGTGTGTGTTTTTTTTTTTAATTTTTTAAAAGTATTTATTTTCAGCATGCTCCATAACAAGAGTTATAATACATGCATTGAAGAATAAGAATAACAAATTTAGATCAAAAATACAAAATGAAATACAAATATAAAATATAAAAGCAGACAAGTAAAATCAAAAAGAAAGAAAAGGAATATTATGAACAAACTTTTGAAAAATTGGTAGACAGTCAGTATTGATCAGAGTTTGACAGTTTGGTGGCCATTGTAATCCACTTGTGATTACATATTTGAAAAGTTCACTACGATGAGAGTCTAATTCAGGGCAGAAGAATAAAATATGTTCAATATTTTGAATTTTATTTTGGTCACAGCTGCAGAGTGGAGAATCTACGTGCTTGAATCTATGTAGGTATTCTCCACAACGAGCGTGTCCGGATAAAATTTGTGTTAATTTGAAATTGGGAATGAAATGTTGGGTCATTCTTTCTTGCACTGATGGAAAAAACTTCTTTGTTATATTGCCGTTTTGTGTGGAGTCCCACTCTCCTTGCCACATATCCCTGGTCTTTCGAAGAATATCATTTTTAATAAAAGATTTAGGCAATTTACTGAAGCTGATGGTGAGATCTGATTCGGCTGCCGCTTTTGCAAGCTCATCAGCCTTATCATTTCCGATAACTCCAGAATGGTCCTTGACCCAATTAATGGTTATATTGATGTTTCGTGTAGAGAGTTTCCAAATCATGAAACGGATATTTTCAGTAGTATCGTCATGGCACTTCCTATCTTGAATTTTAGATATGCTGACTTGGCTATCTGTGAATAGTATGATGTTATTGAATGATAAGTCATCCCTGAAGTTCATCCAGTTCAAAGATTGGAGAATGGCAAAAGCCTCTGCCTGGTTATTAGAACAATTAGGGTGAAGCTTAAATGATCTTTCAGCAACATCACTATCATTGTAATACGCCACGAAAGCGCAGCCTGTGCAATTATTGATTTTGCTTCCATCTGTATAGATGAGAAGATGATCATCACTATCTAAATTATTGTTGGTAGAAGCAACCCTTCCAGGGTGCAGCCAATATATTGGGGCAAGATTTGACTCCGTATCACTCAATGTATCTGGTTGCACCTTAAAGTAAATGTCTGCACATTCCTGTATTTTAATACAGATTGGTACAAGTCCAGCTAGGACACAAGAAGCCTCATATGAGATCGTACGAAATCCTTTAGTAATTCGTAGGACTATTAGTCTCTGGATCGATCTTAGCTTGCGCCTGTTATAATTGTAGCGGATGCCATCAAACCATGCTGGTGTAGTATAAGTTAGCTGAGGCAAAATTGCTCCATCATAAATAATTTTTAAGGCCTTTGAACCCATGCCCCAGTTCACCTTTGCCAATCTGGCAAGGGTATTGAGGGTGTAGCTAACTTTTTTGAACATATTTGTAATGTGTGCATTCCAGCAAAGTTTCCTATCAAGAATCACGCCCAGATATCTCATCTCACCAACACTATTCAACATACTGCCGTTCATATATATTTTAATATCTCTTCTAATTCGTTTTTTTGATAAAAGCAAGATATTAGATTTTTCTGAGTTAAATGTTATTTTATTTTCGTTTGACCAGTCCAAGATTTTTGACAGACAAAAATTACCGTCCGCTTCCAATTCTAGTTCAGACTTTGCAGCAATAAGCATGAGCAGATCATCGGCGAAAGCAACTATGTGAACATTTTGTGGGAAACCCAACTTCAGCAAGGAGTCATAAAAGATTGTCCAAAATCCCGGACCGCAGCAAGACCCCTGAGGGCAGCCCATTGTAACTTTTCTTCTGATGCAATTCGTTGAAGTACGTAAGCAAGCCGAACGTTCGGAAAAATAGCTTCTAGCAACCAAGTAAAGATTATTGGGACATTTAAAATTTCTCAATTGATTCAATATCGCCGACCACCAAGCAGCGTCAAATGCCCCTTTTACATCCAAAGAAACAGCTAAAACCTGGAAATTATTCCGTAAGTTTTCTTTTGCAAAATTGGTAACATTCAAAACAGCATCAGTAGTTGACTTTCCCGGTGTGAATCCAAACTGATTTGAGCTTAATTTATCATTTGAGTACAAAAAATGCATAATTCTTTCAATAAGCAATTTTTCGAGTATTTTTCCACTGACAGGAAGCAAACTAATTGGTCTAAATTTTGATGGGTTGAAGGATGTTTCTTTACCAGGCTTTGTAAAGTATCGAAGGCAAGAATGTTTCCACTGGCGCGGAAACTCTCCTCTAGATAAGCATTCATTATAAATTGCTGAAATAAATTTAGGATAAAGCCTAAAAACTTCAGACACAATTCTACTAGATATCCCATCTTCCCCTGGAGTCTTCCCCGGGTTCATGCTAGTAATAGCAAACTTAATTTCCTCTTCAGAGAAGTTCAAATCATCTTGAGTATTCATGGGAATATCTATTAATGTTCTTAAATTAGCTTGGTATGAATTGTCTAAACTGATATCGTCCAGAGGCACGAATTGTTTGGCAAGAGTCTCCAAAGTTTCGTCAAGATCCGATGTATAAAAGCCAGTTGGAGTGTGAACAGTTGTTAATGTTGTTGGATTTTTAAGCTTACCTGAAGCGATCTTATGTAGAATAGTCCAAGGTTGTGAGCCAATATCTGTGCAAAAATTCCTCCATGACTGAATTTTTGCAGCCCTGAGTTGTCTACCATAAATCTGTTTACAGCTAAAATAGTCAATTTTCCTAGCATCTCTTAGAGTCAAATTGTTAAAAGTCCTTTGGTATAGTCTTCTTTTGGAATTAGCAAGTTTTCTCATCTCCGTAAGTTCATTGTTCCACCGCGGAACTGTTCTCTGTCTATTTTGTTTAGAATTCAGTCTCTTAACTGGCATTGACTTGAAGCAAGCATTCTTAATACAGTTGATATATTTAGAAACAAAAAAACTATTCAAGTCACACACTTCTTTTACAATACTGATTAACTCTGTATCGAGATCCTGGACATGAGTGTGCTTCAATCTTGGATTAAAATTGATCAAAAGTTTAGTGAATTCCCCCTGTAAGATTTCATGAAAAGTGGACCAGTTTGCTTTATCAAAGTTAAATTTTAGCGTAGTATAAGCAGTGCATGTAGTTGAATTATTATTAAAATTGATGGAAAATTCAATAATTCTGTGGTCAGAACAGCTTTCCTTGTCCAAAACAGACCAGGAACGAATACATTGCAGTAATGAGTTAGATGTAACAGTCAAATCAATAAAACTCTGTCCATTTGGTGAGCAAAAAGATGGAATATTCATATTGTCATTAACAATCCAAAGACACTTTGAAGATAAAAAAAGATTCCAAAACTTTACCACGAGAGTTTGTGAATCGTACCATGAAAGTGAGCGAGAGTTTGTGTCCATGGCCAATAACAAATGTTCACGAGCACAAAGGTCAGTGATGAGATCAATTTTTGAAACATCTAGATTGATATCTCTATGATAGTCCACGTACACACTAGCAGCATAAAAATGAATATTATTAATGATGAATTCTACAAGAATCATATCTTCACTGGAATGTTGACTAATTAGGATAGCATCAATATTCTTGTTAGCAACAAGAATAGCAGCCCTTTTTAGACCAATGCCCATTTCAAAAATTCTAAAAGATCTAGAAAATCCAGCCACCTTGTTATTAATACAATAAGACTCCTGAATAAAAACAATGTCAGTGTTATTGTTCTGGATTATAGCAGAAAGATTAATAGCAGCCTTACGAGATTTCTGAAGATTGATTTGTAAGCAACGAATATTAACATTATTTGCACTAGTTACCATAGTCGATATTCTGCTTTTTTCTCTCAATCTGTTTTAAATATGTAGGGCATCTTCTATCCAAGGCCGCGTGCTTAATATCAACTCTCATTCCACCTTTGACATACTTATTATAGTTTATGCAATTAGAGCAATTTAATTCATTCCGCGATGAGCAATCTCTCATTAAACGAGTACCAGAACAAATTGGACAAGTGGTCTGAGATCTACAATTAATTGAGTCATGATTAAATTTGTTGCATTGGAAACATCTCTTGACACTAATGTAATCTGAACACCTGCACATTGACCACTTCAATTTGATTCCATATTCAAGAAAATATTTCCTAGCTCCAGGAGAAACTTCAGCAACTAAGAATCGTCTATTTATATTTTTTTTCATTGCCCTAATAAACTTGACATTAAAAGTTTCCCCTTTTAAATTATCTTGATTTTGATTTTTAACAATCATTTCAGCATTATTTATGTCTATTTCTTCCGGTATATCAAATATAATAATCTGAGGTAGGAACTTTTAATTTTGTGATATACTCATTTCCTCGCCCAATTGTTCACCAACTGCGTGGCAAAGTTTATCTAAATCCTGTTTATTTTTACAGCTAATCAAAATCTTACCTCCATTTAGAGACTTCATTCTCTCCACTCCAATTTGAGAATCTTCTGGGTTAACTTTTCTTTTGAGACGTTCCCCCAATTCCTCCGAAATCTGCTTTTTCAATTGCGCAATCACCGCAGCAAACATCGGGAGCATCCGCGGCCGGTCATCGGTAGGGCACTGCGTTGAACTCGAGACGATCTCCTCAAAGGTTCTTCCCGTTGTAGGCTTAGTATTTGTAGCAGCCATTGTGAGCTTTGAATCTTTTAGTTGATCATTCAAAGACAATATCATCGATTTATAATCATTTTTAACTGCATTCAGATCGCTTATTGCCTCCGGAACGCTTTGCTTCAAGTCTTTTCTCAAATTTCCACTAATTTCACATACTTTTTTCAGTTTTTCAACAGCCGATAGAAATCTCGCGTCTACCTCGTTCGCCATTCTCCCGTGTGTGTGTGTGTGTAAGTGTGTGTGTGTGTGTGTGTGCGTGCGTGTGTGTTCGGATGCTCTAAATTTTTTAATTATGATAAAGAAAAACAGTCCAATAGTTATATAAAGAAATCTGTTAGATTATTGGAATTATATTTGTACTAAAGTATAAAATCCAAAAAAAAAGTAGTTTGAGACTTTTTTTTCCGGCGTATTCAAAAATTTATCAATAATTCTTTTAATGAATTAAAGAAATTCAAATGATAAATAATTGTTGCTCTTGGATCAAAATAACTACAAACAAGTGCAAATTTGAGAAATTGTTTGGTTTGGAAGTGAGTCATGTTTGAATGATTTTACCTTTAATGCTTTAGTGCAGAAAAAGACACCGGTGTTTCCTGCTCTATTTCACAGTCATAAGTTAGTAAAATATGAAATATGATAATTTTTACAAATTTTGACCTAAATTAATACGAAGTAATGAAAAAAGTATGAAAAATGTGTTTATTAAAAGTTGTGCGTTAAAAGGTTAACCCCTCTCACCTTCCGAATAATTATAACTATCAAAAAAATTTTGTAAAACAAAAAGTTTTGGTCTCTCTTTTTTATTTTCATATAAATAATCTTTCATGTCAATAAAGTTATGTAAATAAATGTCCCTAAAACCAAAATTTTCAAGAGCATTTCGCATTTAATATAAATTTTTTAAATAATTTTCAAGCTTTCAAAATTTAGAATATGACTCTCATTAATTCGAAGCAAATAAAAAATTTACACGAAACAATGTTAAAAAAGGGAAAACAGGAAATGCTTTATTTAGTAAATTTATCATAAAATTCATCCCTTTCAAATCATTTGTATAGAAGATCGGAAATAGTATGGAAAATAACGGTAAGACAAATGGTAAAAATAAAGGATTATTATCTAAATAAACTTGACATACGATATACAAAATTTAACTAATTTATAGTTTAATCGCATAGGAAAGATGTGCCCCTAAATTTTTAATTTAGTGACTCGGAGAGTATAGTTTTGTTTTTTGAATTAGGGATTTTATTTTGACAACAAAAAATAAGTACCATTATTTTTATTCAACAAGATGAGATTAAATCCAAGACCTGGAGCAGTGAAGAACTTGCTAATATACCCGATTGCCCAAAACGTGTGGCAGTGGCATTGTTCCGGCTGGTTACAGGACATGACTGCCTGAGTGAACATCTCCATACAAATGATATTTTCGACTCCCCTTTTTGTTCATTATGCGATCTGGGAGAACCTCTGAATACAGCTCATCTGCGTCAGTGCGGAGCACTTCGTGGTTCTGCCGACTCCGAGACCGCCCTGTATTGGAGAGCTAGAGAACGCCTGGGGCTTCAATGACTTCGGTCAATATTTGTGATCGCTTGCTCATTGTTTCGTATTGACTTGTTTTTATAAATGTAATATGCCTTGCCATTGGAAATAAAAAAAATTAAAGAATTTTTTTTTTATTGAACTGAAAATAAAGGACATTCATTTTAAGAAAATACATGAAAATACATCTGAATGTGAAATGACTATCGAGAGCTAGAGATATAATTATTGGAAAAGCTTGAAATTTTGTACTAAAGATGCTAAATAAAACTATTTTATTGTTTTGTGTTTTTTTTTTTTTACTCTTTATAAAATTATTATTTTTGCTTTACATAAACTTTTCATTCGCATTGAAATGTTAAGGGTCATATTCTAAATTTTTTTGATTAAAAATTTAAAAAAAATACTATCAAACGATGAATGTCATTAAAAATTTGGGTTTTAAAGGATGGGGCACTCAGGGAGGGAGAGATTATTTTAATTTGGAACAAATATGAAACTGGGGAAAAAACTCTCACGTTCCAAACTTTATTCATATGAAAATTAAAAAGAGAGACTAAAAATTGTGGTTTAGGAAAGTTTTTAAGAAAATTATGGTTATTTGGTAGGTGAGGGTGGGTTCGTCATGAATCTCAGGGGCTGGAAATAAATTGATAAGGAGGTTGAGAAAACATCCATCCCTGCTGTTAGAAGTCTAAATTGCGGAAATATTTAAGAAGTTGAGCAAGAAATCTGAAATAAATAATACCCTAAAAATTTTAAGTACAGAATCTCTAGTTTTCAAATATCCCATCGGAAATTTTCTACCTAACAGTGATGTAGCCCACCCTAAACAATGATGTAGGGCATACCCGGTATGCCCTACATCATTATTTTTTTAAGGTCAAATGCCACTGTCCAGTATGCATTTACCCGGTACTACGAACACTGATGTTTCTCCAAATCTATCCTCAGTAGATATTAAAACATCGAAGAAATATTATAATATCAACGAATAAATTAATATCAAATTGGATATTACAAATATTTTGGATATTCACCAAAGCGACGATGTGATTGTTGACAATCACCGGTGAAAGTAGACATGATTTCAGAGAAAGTAGATTGATTTCAGTTATTCATGGTAACATATATANATATATATATATATGTATATATATATATATATATATATATATATATATATGCATGCATGAAATAAAAACTCTGATATTTGTTGCAATGAAGGTATCAGTTAATGAAGAAACAACTCAAAATCTGACAAATCACAGTACAGGAATACAAATGTAATAGTCAACAAGACAGGTTAGATTGCGGGTGGAAAAAAATGGCTGAAAGACGAATAATAATAAGTTTGAAAAAAAAAAACATGAATAAATTAAATAAATTTTATTAGTTTTTGTAACTTATTATGAATATAACGTGTTGCTATTCTTATTCAAGTTTAAGAAATTTGAAATAAAAAGATGTTTTATTATGCTATGAAGAAAACTGTAACTTCTAATTCAAACATTTCAATGCATTTTTATACTTTACTGAAAAGTAATTAAAATTTCAATCTGATAAAAAGACTTTATTGTAGTAATTTTTAAAGGAATTTATTGTTGTAGTTTTAAGCTTTTCGATCGAAGGCAACTGCCATTTATTAACTTTGGAAATTGATTAAATGCTGTAACACTTGGTTTTCAGTTACACTAAAGTTTCTTCTAACACGCACAATATAAGCAAATGGCTATAAATAGTTTCCATTAGAGCCTTAATGATATGATGAAATGTGGTATCATTCTTAACAGGAAAAAAATAATGATCTAGAGGCAGCAAAAAAAAATTAAAATGGAACGTTTCAAATAAAGTGACCTTAAAAGTACCATTTGAGAATGCATAGGCTTATTTTGATTGAAAAATATGGTCTTGTTGATTCAAGTTACGAATTGTTTAAATTCACCTTGGAACTATTTTAAATATAAATAATTGTTTATTAACTTACTTATAAAACATCCACTATTAATGTAGTACTCATAGCCCTAATACCAAAGTATAGAACTGATGGCATCTAAACTTTAAAAAAAATATTTCCAAAATCAAAATTTGTAATTTACTTCGAAAAATGTTTCATCAGCTTAAATAATTCTGAAAGACAGTAAATAAAAAAGAAAAACACATTGCAAATTGTAAAGAAATTATTTATTAAAATGACTAAATCCTGTTCAAAGAATCTAGAAAATATATGAGAAGCCAGCAAAAGTAGAAAGCATATTTATAAGAAAAATTTTAAGTATATTAATGTGTTAAAATACCATATCTAACCAAATACTTCAAGGGATAAATTTTTAAATTCTTGTATGACATTATAGCACTTTTATTTCCTTGCAACAATAATTTTGTCTGTAATAAGTAAAAAATATTTCTCCAACTTCCTCTAGCTGCAGGTTTTGAAATATTCTCAATGAGAAATATTGAAGCCAATCTAAAACTTTTCTGAAGGAGGTGGTTCCACAGCAGCAACTTCAGGACGTGCTATAAAAGAGACGATGAATTAGAAATTTCGAGAAAAACATAACAAATAGATAATAAATTGCATGGAAGTGTTATAAAATGAGCACTGTGAATTAAAATGAAGGAAAAAATTTAAACTTGGGGGTCGCAAATATAAAATTTAGGGAAAAACATAATGTTATTCAAAGCTAACTCAATCACTACTGAGAAAGACGACAAATCCAGTTCCATGACAATAGGAAATAGAGGGGAGATTAAAAGTGATCATTAGAAACACCTCCAAATTACCCGAGGCAATCGGTTTTAATATTCTTTATACCATTTTCTTTAGCAGTGAATTGACAGATTTTAATAACGAGAAAAAAACAGAATAAAACATAAAATGAAATCTATAAAGCAAACAGCGAATTCAAATGAACTTACATCAACGGGAAATTTTTCAAGAATGATTTAAAATATTTTTGAAACAAGATTGCCAGATTGCAAAGCATGAAACCAAAAGCGCAAATTTAGGTAAAAGCGTAAATAGAGGGATTTTGTATTAAAGTGCGTTCTTACTGCAGTACTGAAGTGCGTTTGATTTGTTAGTTATCAAGGATGGGCAAGAAAATGGATGTGCGCAAGGTAATATTATACTGGATAATTTAAAGAAGTTGACAATTAATAATTTTAGAAAATTAACATTTATTTAGAGAAAAAAAACATGGAATAGAAAAGAGAAAGAAACATGAATTGCCTGTTTTGCACGTAATTTTAGCCACGGATTTGAGTGAAATGGATTTGCACATGGTAAATATTATCTAAATTAACAAAGAATAATTTTTTTAAAGTAAATTTATTTATAATAATATTCGGATTTTTATTCATTTTTTCCCTTTTTTTCGGATTTTTTCCCCTCAAGTTTCTTGTTATTTTCATTATTATTTTTCTTTTCCCCCCTTTTTCATTGTTCTGTAATTTTTTCCATGTTTTCTCTATATTTTAAACTTATAGATATATATATATATAAGTTTAATATATATATATA